TGTCTTAACAAAGCTGTGGTTATGAGACCCTCTGTCTTAACAAAGCTCACTTCTAAAGGATAATTTCACGTCAGCTCTCTCCCCAAACAAACCTTTATCCCTGTCCTAGTTGTGACGGTATCTGCCACCTCACCACAGTTAGGAATGAGTTCCCGAGGGACTGGACAGTTTGGGTGACCAGGAACTTGACTGACATTGACCTGACGGTACCTCAGCCAGGGGTGCAGCCAAATACATGGAGCTCCTGGACTGACCACAAACTCTCCAAAAATAGCTACGATCTCTAATGACCACAAGACAATGCCTGGACAGCTGCGAAGCTTGACTGAGATGGCCACCATCTTCTTCCCTTTCTCTGTCTGGACTCCATTTCCCGGCCAGCAGGCAGCTCCAGCTGAAGTTTTATCTTTGTCCTGCAAATGTTGTTTGTAAACTAAACACAGCATAAGAAGATGTTGTGAATGTGAAGTTGACAAGGGCTAGACTAATATTATAAACTTGAATAATCTAGAACCATCCAAAAGACGAGCCTCTAGACACCTGGGAGGGGTAATCTAGTTTGGGTTAGCTTGTGGATGTGACTGTGAGGGGTAATCTAGTTTAGGTTAGCTCGTGGACGTGACTGTGAGGGATAATCTAGTTTAGGTTAGTTCGTGGACATGACTGTGAGGGATAATCTAGTTTAGGTTAGCTCGTGGACGTGACTGTGAGGGATAATCTAGTTTAGGTTAGCTCGTGGACGTGACTGTGAGGGATAATCTAGTTTAGGTTAACTCGTGGACGTGACTGTGAGGGATAATCTAGTTTGGGTTAGCTCGTGGACGTGACTGTGAGGGATAATCTAGTTTAGGTTAGCTCGTGGCCGTGACTGTGAGGGGCTTCCGTGATTAGTTTCCTCTCAGGGGGAAGATAAGCCCTGAATGTAGGCAGCGCCTTCTAGAGGTAGCCTAGATGAAGGGAAATCTGAGGAAAAAGCTTTTGCTTTTTGCTTGCTTGCCTTTGCATCTTGTTCATGAGTTATCAACCATATTGTTGCTGCAGCCACTGTTGCTTCTTTGGCCTTCCAACTTGGACAGCAGGCCAGTAGCTCTCTAGAAATTCTTCAGCCATTAGCACCAACTTGGTACTGTTAAGATATCCAGTCTCGGGGACTTGGCAGGTACTGGGTTCTCAGCTTCCCAGGGTGAAGACAGTCATGGTTGGGTTTTCCAGACCGTATTGTACATCTGGACTTCATTCCCAAGTCAGCAGGCAGCCAATCCAAAAAGTCCCCTTTTAATATATTAAAATATATTTTTTATTCCTCTCAGGAACCCTCCTCACTCACACACATGGCAGTAACTCCTGCTAGAGCAGAGGTTCTCAATCCTTCTAGGACGGAGACCCTTTACCTCATGTTGTGATACCCCCCAACTATAAAATTAATTATTTTTGTTGCTACTTCATAACCATAATTTTGCTATTGCTATGAATCATAATGTAAATATATGTGCTTTCCCATGGTCTTAGGCGACCCTGTGAAAGGGTCACAACCCGCAGGTTGAGAACCGCTGGGCTAGATAATCATTGTTCCCTTCTTACAGAGATAGGGCAAGGATTGAGTGAAATAATAATAAGAAATAACTTAATTATTCCTGGTCCTTAGAAGATATTTAATAAATGATAATCTTTGCTACCATTTCTGTATTCCATTATATATATATATTCATATATATATATATTTCTATGATGCACATTTTTATTTATATGACCTGCCCTCACTTTTTCTTTCTCTTTCCTCCTGTCCTCTCACTTTCTCTCCTTCCTTCCTTCCCTCCTTCCTTCCTTCCTTCATTCCTTCCTCCCTTCCTCCCTTCCTCCTTCCCTCCCTCCCTCCCTCCCTCCTTCCTTCCTTCCTTCCTTCTTTCCTTCCATCCTTCCTTTTCTTTCTCTTTATAGAGTCATATGTAGCTCAGACTGGCCTCCAGCTCCCTAAGTAACCAAGAATAACCTTGAACTCCTGATTGACCTGCCTCTCCCTCCCAAGTGCTGAGGTCACAGGCAGTCTTTGCTGAGGCCAGTCTTTGCAATGCTGCAGAGCAGTCGGGGTTTCCTGCATGCTAGGTGAGCCCTCTACCAATTGAACTTCTCCAGGCTTATGTGGCGGGGGTGGGGGGATTTCTCTAATCAGGTCTGTTTTCTTTAGATAAATTCTTAAACATAAAATCCCCAAATCAAAGGGTATTCACACTGTTATAGCTCTTCATACACTATCCGCATTGCCACATTACTTTTCCAAATAATTATTGTGATACAGAGTAGGACCAGAAACAGGAAGACCATCATTAGCTCTGGAATCACTGTTGGATTTCACAAGAATTGGGAGTTTAGAGATGATCATTCTCCATACCCATAAAGACACCCATCAAAAGAAGATGTGAGGAGTTCAAGGCCAGTCTGGTCTACAAAGCAAGTTCCAGGACAACCAAGGCTACACTGAGAAACCCTGTTTTGAAAAATCAAAAAGAGAGTGAGAGAGAAGGGATGGGTTGGGTTGGGTTTTGCTGAATATAGGGCAGAGCCAAGTGAGAGAGGGAAAACAAAGTTCCAGTCAGAAAAGGGCCTCTGAGGTCAAGGAGAATAGATAAGGAAGCCAACAACGGCGTGTGTTGTCAGTGCAGGAAGGGGTAGTGCTGTCCGATGCCCACTGGCTCGCCAGGAATGTTGCGGGTAAACCAGCAAGTGACAGGAGCCTGCTGAGTTCTAACTTGGTCATGGCAAGGGTAGAATAGGGAGGATACCTAGTTTATACACACACACACACACACACACACACACACACACACACACACACCAAGAACAATTAGGAGAATCTTTAAGGTGGCCTAGCTGCTGGCACTCAGTGCACTCTGTTATACAAGCATCTCTGTCGGGTGTTCAGTGCAGGCTTGACACATCATTTCAAAGGTCACAGGTGATCGGACCCCTTTGTGTCCTTATTCTGGTCTCTCAATGCTCTCCCCTGCATTCTATCCACAGCCATGGACCTCTTCCCAGTTCACAGACACACCAGGTAAGTAAGCAGCCATCCCCAGGAAGTAACAGGGTATCCCCTCTGCCAGAAGATTCTTCCCCCAGAAGCTCACTTGACACATCAACCCCCATCTTCTTCAGATCTTTACATGGGCCTCATCTCCTACGGTTCTCCCAGGCCACCTGCTTAAATGCGGGCCTTCCCCGAGTCCTGAGGCCAAGTCATCTTCCCTAGCTCTGTGCCCTGACTACCTTCTTGGGTCCTGTGGGCCCTTTCATTTAATACAGCTCTTGGTTTTCACTTCTCTCCATTTAGAAATGAGGACCTGTCAAAAGAGGAAGGAGAAAAAGGAAGAGGAGGAGGAGGGAGGGAGGGAAGGAGGGAGGGAGGGAAGGAAGGAAAAAAGGAAGGAAGGAAGGAAGGAAGGAAGGAAGGAAGGAAGGAAGGAAGGAAGGAAGGAAGCAGGAAGGCAGGAAGGCAGGCAGGAAGGAAAGAAGGAAGAAAGGAAGAAAGGAAGGGAAGTTTACCTCACACAGTGGGAGGGATTTTCGTCTCTCGGTTGACTTATCGAGTGTACTAAGTGTCTGAAGGTACTCAGTTGATGAACAAATGAACGATCTTGGGTGCTGATGTATGGTGACATGGCTTTACTGCTTCAAGGCTGACTCTAGGTTGACCCATGCTGAGCACGGCTTCAAGGTCTATAGAAAGCTCTCTTTCTGTAGACCAGGCTGGCCTCGAACTCACAGAGACTCCTTTACCCTGCCAAATCCAAGATTGCCCTAAAACAGGAAGTTGGAGAATAGTTAAATATTACTTTTGCAGATTAATTTTAAATTGCTTTTTGGGTATTTAAAGATTAGCATCATATGAAAAATTGTCTTTTCCATTTTATAATTTGCTAATACTGTTTCCTGTTCTGCTTAAAATTTTAGGAATGGCTACAATATGTTCTCAGTCAGTGTGGAAAGTTCAGGAAGTTCCGGAGAAAAGACGCACACGTTTATATAAATTAAATTATTTTATGTTGTGAGCAGGGGAAAAAAAGGAACGTTCTCAACAACCATCTCCTGGATGTCTTTGGATGAGGCGACTAAGATGCCCAGGGGCTAAGGACTTTGCCTGTGCTGTCTTCTGTCCCTTGTAATGTTGGAGCCTATTGTCACATCTCAGGCAATCTCATCCTGATGCCACTCTGTCCCCATGCTGGGCAATGGTGGGGACTCTGGCTAGAATGTCCCTTGCCTGGTTTCCTAGGATGAGGGTGGTAGGCCAGCACAGCCGCTTCTCCCCCGACTGAGTAAAGCCCCGTTGGAGTGGCCCTGCTCCGCAGCTGGCCACCGCCCAGCAGATAATGACTCAGCTCCCAGCCTTGGCTCCCTGGTAATCAGCAGAGTCCAGATCACCCTGGATCTGCCTCTCACACGTGTGCCAGGGAAGACAAGAGAAAGAGAAGACGAGAGGGCACAGCAAATGAGGTCAGGGAGAGGCAGGCAATTGAAATTCTAGACTCACCAGGAGCCAAGTGGGCCGGGAGGCTGGAGTTACTGGCTCTGCTCAGCGGGCACCCAGTAGGCAGAAATCCCATTGCCTGGTTCCTGGAGCGGGGGTTGAAGGGCAAACTGTATCTCTGTGGTTGTATTGTGATGGCAAAGGAGGAAGCAAGAGCAGCTGATCCAGCCTGGGCCGGGAGTGCCCACGTGTGCACAGACCCGCCTTTGTGTTCTGGGCCCAGACAACAGGCCGCATTCTTCCCCCACCTCAGTGACGTCCTTCATGGACATGTCCCCAACACACAGTGTCAAAAGATGAAGCGGTTATGGATCAGATGATACGGCATTCCCTCTAGTACCCACTCAGCTTGGGCTGTGCCTCCTCCTGCCACCGAGCACAGAGTGGATTACTGGCCCCAGTCTTGCCCATGGGATTCAGCAGGGATCTCTGATAGCTACAAGGGTCCGAATTTCAGAGCACAGGAGCTTGAGAGGCCCTGAGAGCCAGTCCACAGGTCAGTGAGGTGACAGGGACAGAGCCAGCGTCAACATTCCCGCCACAGTAGCAGTGAGCTGAGAAGGTGATGTGATGTGCCCATAACAGCCTGAAGGAGGTGGGAGCAGGCCAGCTGGATTTCTGGGAGAGAGAGTTTCTAGGCAGAGGGAGCTCCCAGTGTATCTGCAGAATAGAAGACCTACTACACAGACCCTGCTCCCCCGTGCCTGCCAGCCTCACCAAAGGTGTTAGACCACATCCCAGAGGATCCAGAGGGAGACAGGAGACTCTTTGGAAAGGATACTCGTCCCCCAACCCTGACAGATGGTTTCCAAAGCAAACGATCTTATGCCCCGAAGTCAAGTGCAAGGGATGAAGCACCCCAGGGTGTTCCCTGCTGTCCTGCTTAGCCACACCGCAGGGCCACTGCTGGCTCAGCTACTTTGGGAAGTGCTTCTCTCTCTAAATGTAAGCAAAACATCCTTTGAATAGTACAAAGGCCACCTCCCCTGGCCTCGGAGACTTATCCGCTCTTTGGAAAACCCGCTTCTCCTTCCAAGGACAAGTTCACACCATAAGATCTTGGAAGAGAGGTTGTCCTCTCTAACCCTTCATGTTCTCACCATAAGATGGGGCCTACGGGGCCAGTGAGACGGCCCAGCAGGCCAAGCACTCACTGCCAAGCCTGACAACTTGAGTCAATCTCAGGATAAGATGGCATTTGTGGTCCCTGCCCTCGTCCCCTCACAGGCTCCCGAAAAGATCAAATAGCGTAAGGGAAACAAGATGGTCGCGACTGTGACAGTGACAGCCGTTCCTGCTGTCCAGCTGCTGTGTCTGGTTATTGTCCAGCCGAGCTGTACAAAACATCAAGGAGATGCATGCATTATTAAAGTTCTCGTTCTTTTTAATGATTACACAGTAAAGGTACCTCTTTTTGGTATATAGGTCGATGGCGTTTAATACATGTGTAGACCCAGAAAGCCTCATTGGCACAGAAAAGCTCTCTTCCACTGTGTCTTGGCAGTCACACCCGAAGCCACTCTTAAGTCTGGATCCACGCTCCACCTTCATGGTGGCTGAACGTCTCACAAATGAAGTGCCTGGACGTAGAGTCCTTTATGTTAAATTTGTGTTTAGAGCGAATACATATTCCACACCGTAGTAAAAAGTCTGCCTCTATCCCATGCCCCCCAATGACAATCTATTAAAACAACCACGAAACGCGCTATTGTAAATGACAAGGGGTCCACGTTCCCCCTCATGCCCACTCTGCTTCTACCTCCCCGCCACTCATTTGCGCCTAGCAAACACTAACCCTCCATTTAATGTTTTGTTTGGGGTTTTGTTTTTGTTTTCCTTCAACTCGGTGTAACTCTTGGGAGAGGTGCCCAAGTTGATGCATGTATGAATTGGCCATTCAGGCAACCATGGCCAAAAGAAAGATTCAGAAGGTCCCATTGCCCAAGAACCCCCTGTTGAGTGTTGTTCAGCGGCACAGACGTGCCACAGCTGGTTGCTACCACCCATCGAAGGACATCTCAGATGTCCCCAGGTTTGGACTTCTACCAAGAAGTCTGTTATAAACATTAGTACATAGAGTTTTTAGTTGGTGTCTGGGACAGGGCCTTGCTATGTGGCCTTGAATGGTCTGGGACTCCAGACCTCATCCAGGGTCCCTAAGCATCTGCTTGACTGTCTTGGTTGCTTGGAAGTGGCTCTGAAGAAGGGCTGCCCATAGGCCCCACTGCCTTCCTGCTCTGACTTCTCCTGTGGGTAAGTCCTTCACCCAGATTTCCAAATTAATAGATTCCCTGCGGCATGACCCACTCTTCCTTCATAACTCATGCCATGACCTCTAGTAATTATCTGTTACTTTCTTCCATGAATATCAAGAATTTCCTGCATTCTTCCCGTGTTGAGGACCTTCATGAGTTTAGGTTTTTAATGGTGTGTGTGTGTGTGGTGTGTGTGTGTGTGTGTGTTGTTTTGTATGCGTGTGTACACACAAGTGTTGTAAGTGTACCTACAATGTCAGGTACATATGGAAGCCAGAGACTTAGACCATCTATCTCCCACATTTGCTTCTCACCTTATTATTTTTGGAGCAGAATTTCTTACTAACCTGGCGCTTGCTGTTGTGGGTGGACCCACAGAAAGCCTCCCTGGGATCTACCTGTCTCTGACCCTCAGGCATAGGTGTGTGCTGCCATGCCTGGTAGTTACTGAGTGCTAGGGTTCCAAACTCACGACCTCATAGTTGCTCAGCAAACACTTTACACACTGAGTCATCTCCATAGCCCCCTGATTTTAATAGGAATCATCCTGTAAGCTGAATGAAAGTGGGACATACTTCCTCCCTTTCTATATAACCTCAGGGCTAACAGAGGGCCTGACACTGTATGAACATGTAACGAGTGTCCGATGCCTTCTCGCATCACAGCCTTGACTCTTGTTGCTCTCTCTAGAAACATCTTTTCTGATTGAGTCCACAAAACCATCCAGTCATGTTGCCTGAGATCGGTATTTGGGAGAAAGTAGATGTTAATATTGGCTGTTGGATGATTTAATGAGTATCCATTGAGGTTCTACTGGGTGCTGGAATGACAGATGAGTGAGGTGGACAATGGCCCTGCCCCCATGAGCTCGCTGACTGTCTAGCCAGCAAGAAACACAGCTGAACAGGTGGCTATTCTAGACGACAGTAAATCCTGTGGAAAAGGAACAGAGCACACTCTGGGACTGTTATAGGGAACCCTGACCCAGCTCTGGGGATCTAGAAGACTCTCTAGAAGAAGTGATAATTGAGTTTGGGCTTTAAAGATACTAGAGATGAGTATGGTGGTGCATGCCTTTAATCCCAGCCCTCAGGAGGCAGAGGCAGGAGGATCGCTGTAAGTTTGAGGCCAGCCTGGTCTACACAGAGAGTTCCAAGTTCGCCAAGGCTACAAAGTGAGACCCTGTCTCAAAAACAAAAGCCTTAGAACGCCAGTAAGTTGTTTATTTTGCTTCTTTTTCCTTCCTTGAAGTTTTCGTGTTGAGACTCGTGTGTCTATGATGGGAAACTCCGATAAGGGTCTCATCCACTGACTCTTGTTCAGTAACGAGAAGAATAACAGACAAAGAATTCAGAAGGGAGTTTTCCTGATAGATGGTAGTCATGGAGCTGATGAAAACAGACACCATAGGACCCTCCCTTACCACTTTCCCCCAAGGGTCCCCTGTATGAATCAGGGGATGTGGGATCTCAAGATGCAATTCGATTTGTATTCTCCAACCTCCAGCTCACTTTACAGTCCAGGCAGAATTGAGCTGAAATGAACATAGCTTCCTTCCATCAGCTATACTCAGGGGCTGCCACCAGGAAGTTCTGGGAGAGAAGTAATGGAGCCAAAGGATACAGCTCACAGGAATGAGGTCTATTTGGCCAGCAGGAAGCCTGGGGATGCCATCCTCAAGTACCAGGGGGCACTTGACCGCAGTCTGGGCTCTAGGGGTAGCCCTAGGTATCTTGCTGTTCTAAGAGCCTGAGTTTGCCCAGATGAGGAAAGCACTGCGCCACCACAGTGTAGGCTCAGGCTGGCTTACCTCCTCCTTCTGGTAACTTCTTGGATTTCTGCTCACACGGCTGCATGGCTGGCTGTCCAGTGTGTACGATGACGCAGGCAGTCACACTGCTGTGTTTCGGCCTGCAGTCATCTTCTTAGGCTTTGTTTTGGACACATTCCCTTTAAGGATTCCGACTGCTCCCAGTCAGCCGGGGTGGGGGGGCATGGGAGGGAGAGATGACTGTGTTCTCAGTGGCCAACCCTGTTAATGAGCAGCAGGAGGCCCCAGTCAGAGAAGGGCGAAGCAAAGCCAGGGCACCCTGGGAAGAGATGCAGAAAAAAGGTGTTCCCCCTCCTGACCTGCAGATCTGTCCAATCTGGATGTTTAGACAGAGAGTCCCAGACCCTCTGAGAGCTGATGTCAGTACTGTGGTTGCTAAGCCTTGCTCTTTGTGCCCTCCGTTCTGTCCAGCTTCAGTTCCCACACTTCAGGCGATCCAATCATTCCTGTCCTCCTTAGCACAGGTTCTGACAACCCCTGTAATAAGATCCTTTGGGAGCTCAATTAATCCTTGCAGGGAAGGGCTCTGGCGGCCTTAGGACTGAGACTCACGCTAACTATTTCTCTGGATGTAATGTGGGCCTTCAGTCCTACCTTGATGTTTCGTTCCTCCCTCACAGAGCAAATCTCTGACTTGGTTGATCACACATTGCTAAAGACATCTGTGCTCATCTTTGCTTCATTTGTAGATTCCCCCCGAGACCAAATCAACTCCTAAGAAGGTAAATCCAGCACTTAAAGTCAAGGCTGTGCTTCTGACAACCCCAGGACTGTCTGGGCAAGATGGCAGAAGAGTCAGTTTGCGCTCCTTTTTCCTCCCGCTGTGTCCTATCCTGGGTTCTTTAGCAAGGCAACAAGTATACAGTTATACTTGACCCTGAGCCTGACCTCTGTGAACCCCATCCCAATAACAGGATCCTCCCAGATGGCTATGGCTGCCTGTGTATCCTCAGAGCAGAGCCACAGGCAAACACCAGCCTTGTCATTGGTTTGCTGGTCAATCCCAGGCCCTGAATCAAGCCCCTCACAGCCTTGGGTTCCTCATATGACAATGAGGGATGGCTACTCCCTCCTCTGGTTTGCAGAGAGGCCTAGTTTCATACTTAACCAACATGAACTACCAGCTGTGAGTATCAGGATGAGGTGCTTTTTATCAAGGATTCATTTTCTCTTTGATAAAAATGGAGACAATGCGGTGCCTGGAAGTGGCCACACAGAC